ACATAGAGGTTGGTTCAATTCGAGCGTGAATTCGCTAAGTAATTGAGAGTATACTTGTGTAATTCCTTATATCTTCTTAGTAGATTGTTTTGTGGCTGTTGCCCATGGTTTTTTTTATCACAATTGGAGGTGTCCAATTGTGATTTTTCCACGTAAAATCGTTGTGTTGATTTGTCTTGATTGTTTGATTGGGATTGTTATATACTGCTTAAACAATTCCGAGGTGAAGACGGGGTTGGAAGAGGCACATAGAGGTTGGTTCAATTCGAGCGTGGATTCGCTAAGTAATTGAGAGTATACCTTTGTAATTCTTTTATATCTTCTTAGTGAATTGTTTTGTGGCTGTTGCCCATGATTTTTTTTATCACAATTGGATGTGTCCAATTGTGATTTTTTCACGTAAAATCGTTGTATCGATTTATTTTGATTATTTGATTGTAATTTTTATTTACTGATTAAAATTGATATATAATCATAAATCCACGTCTAGAAAATTTTTAGATTTTTCAGGTTATAAATCAACAAGCACCCAAAGGATAGCGCAAAAGCAACGACCACCCAAAGGGGCGTCAAAGCAACCAAAATAGCTTTCAGCTTTTTTCTCTCTCTCTCTCTCTCTCTCTCTCTCTCTCTCTCTACAGAGCATGGATTCATCAAATGATGGTAAAGTAGAAATGTTTTTCTTGCCATGGATTGTGCAAAGAGGTCACATGATCCCAGCCATAGACACAGCAAGGGTATTTGCAGCTCATGGAGCTAAAGTGACCATAATCACAACTCCAGGCTACGCTCAGATCTTCCAGAAATCGATCGAGAGAGACCAGTCATTAGGTCATGAAATCAGCTTCCACACCTTCAAATTACCCACCGCCGAGTTCGGCTTGCCTGAGGGATGTGAGAATCTCCTCGCCGGCTCGCTTGGCATGATGGAGAAGGTTTGCTTGGCCATCCAGAAGCTTCAACAACCCATCGAGCAATTCATCCGAGAACGCCGCCCCGATTGCATTGTCAGCGACATGTTCCATCCCTGGACTGCTGACGTTGGTGCCCGCCTCGCCGTTCCCAGGTTCTTGTTATGTGTTACAGGTTTGTTCTCTCTCTCTCTCTCTCTCTCTCTCTCTCTCTGTCTGTTGTATAAATTTTTTGTTTGTACATCACTATTCTTAAAATTACGATTCATGCTACAGGATTGTTCTCTCTTTGTTGTGAAGAGAGCCTTCGACGATACACACCGCAAGACAAGGTAAGTTCTGAAGCAGAGTCCTTTGGTTTGCCTGGTCTTCCCGATGACAACATTGTATTTACCAAGAGTAAAATTCCATACTGGTTTACAAAAAAAGGAACTGGTTATGGACAATTTGCTGACAACATTACAGAGTCTGAGTTGAAGAGCTATGGGATTATAATTAACTCCTTTTATGACTTGGAACCGGCTTATGCTGAGTATTTCAAGAATGAAATGGGCAGAAAGCTATGGCTCGTAGGACCGGTATGTCTCTTCAACAATGCAGCCGAAGAAAAGGCTGAGAGGGGCGAAAAGAACTCCATTGATGAAGGCACAATTTTGAAGTGGCTCGACTCCAAACAACCCAAGTCAGTAATTTATGTTAGTTTCGGGAGCCAGTCTAGTATGGTTCCCGAACAGTTCCTCGAGCTTGCTCATGCGCTCGAGGCTTCTGGTTGCCCATTCATTTGGGTGGCCAGAGATATGTCAGAGTATGGCCAAGACGAGAAAGAAAAGAAAGAAGGAAGTGAAAACCGAGGCAAAAAGCTTCCAGAGGGATTTGAGGAGAGGGTGACCAAGTCTGGGCAAGGGTTGATATTAAAGAAGTGGGCACCACAATTGTTAATCTTAGAACATGCCAACACTGGAGGGTTCTTGACACACTCTGGATGGAACTCTGTGATTGAAGGGATAGGAGCAGGCGTTCCAATGATCACGTGGCCGTTAATAGCAGATCAATTCTTCAATGAAAGCCTCGTCGTGGATGTGTTGAAGATTGGGATTCGAGTGGGGAATGAGAAATGGTCATCCTATATTTGGGAACCCAAGATGAGTGTGACTAGAGAGAAGGTGGAGGCGGCGGTGAAGTGGTTGATGGGTGGTGGTAGTGATGAAGTGGAGGAGATGAGAAGGCGAGTAAAAGAGTTGAGCGAGAAGGCTAAGAAAGCTGCAAACCCCGGTGGCTCGTCTAATGCTGATATCATTGCTTTGATCAATGAGCTTAAGTCCCGTCGGCCTATTTGTGCGAATAATTTATGATTCTGGTATCAAAGAAAGCTACTTGCCAATAAATTTTTTCTAGAATCTTATCTAGAATAGTGATGTAGACGTATGATTCTGAACCAAACAACTGCTCTTTTGTTTTTTGGGGGTGGCTGGTATTACTGGCCAGAATATGACTATGGACTCTTGAGTTATCAGATCTGTTGCAAGCCTTTTGTAATGTTTGATCTTTGTAGTGTTTTCGTAGGTGCTAATAATGTTTTCTTTCTTGGAAACTACTTGGATTTGTCTGAAGGAAAATTATATACAATCCCACTTTCTAAATTTATTTTTTAAATCTAATGATATATAAGTGATATGATCAGTTGATGATTACAGAAGATATGAGAGAGAGAGAGCGTTTTTGTAGATATCTTAATTAATTGCCACATCATTAGGTTTAAAAATTGAATCTAATTTTTGAATTTGTATAACAATGTGTTTGTTGCTGATAAAAAATAAAAAGAAAAATGCTATTTACTTGAAATATTTATCTAAAAAATTATTTTGAAAGTAAAGTATAAATTTAAAATTCGTATGACTTGGGCTATATTCAAGATGTCGATAAATATACTTTTCTTTATGGAGTATTATTGAAATCCTTAAACAATAGCTCTATTGGAATTTTTTTTTTTTTTTTGTGATTAACACTCCTTCAAATTTTTACTTTTATTTTTTTTGGATCGGTAAAATTCATAGTTACTTGTTAAGTTAGCACTTTGGAAGAGTTGAAATTCATACCCAAACACTTGGCATGCCACAAGCTTGAATACATGCTTGAAATTCACTCCATCCTTGAATACATGCATGCCACAAGCTCGCCAAGAAGGATCTAAAATGTATATAGAATTGACAAGGACAATTTATTTCTTTAAAAGCAGGTTCGACAAACAAAAGTATCTAAATTTTGTTCAACTATATGAATAATGTGTTTTTATTTATGCGTTGGCAGAGCATTCCTGTAGACATGAATCCAGATCATCTGAACTCTTATCAGTGGAATGAGGGTTTCAAAACACACAGATGGGGATCATTGGCAAATGGGAAAGCAGGGGCGGAAGAGTTGGATACACCAATTGCTTATTTAAAATTTATTTTCTCACTTTTTAAGATTTATTTTCTCACGTTTTAAGATGAAAAATTACTTAGTCCTAGTTTTTTTACAAAATTTCCATTAAATCCTATTAATACTATGTTGAAAGAGTTGATTCATGCGTAAATAGGATTGAATGGAAATTTTATTGGAAAAAAAAGACTATGCCTCGTTTGGTAAGTGGTTGTTTTAGTCTAAAAGTCAAAAAGTTACTACAAAAACCAAAAAGCCAACAATTTATACAAAAGTCAAAGATTCTCTTTTCTCTCTATTTTTTGCAAATTTTTTTGTAAAAAGTCAAAAAATCATCCCAAACATACTAGTTTTTTTTTACCTCATATTTTAGCCAAAAAGTTAAAAAGTTACTAAAATAGCATATTCTCAAACGAAGCCTTACTTTTTAATTTTTGAAAATTTCCTTTAGCGAAAGCAATTTTTATAAGCATTATCGATAATATTTTACAAACAATACAAACATTTTTGAAAAGAATATAATATTTTATATATAATTTAACATGTGAGATAACGGTTTGTTTCTTATTTACAAGTAGAGATATTTTTGCAATTACTTTGATTATCGAAGAATTTTTTTTTTCATACATACATAAGCAGAGACGAAACTAGAATTTTATTATTGAAGGGGTCAAAATTTGAATAAAAAATTTTCACCAGTTACACTAGCAAACATATATATATATAATATGATATGTAAGTTATATATACACACAATAAATAAATCGAACACTATAAAAGTAATTTGGTATTTGATGGAGAAGTTTTGGTCTCTCTTCTTGGTTCCATCCCTGTTTAGTACTAAAAAAAGGGGACTTGCTTGGTTGCCCTAAGTGGGGAATCCTCCCTTGAATAAATCGAACACTATAAAAGTAATTTGGTATTGGATGGAGAAGTTTTAGTCTCTCTTCTTGGTTCCATCCCTGTTTAGTACTAAAAAAAGGGGGCTTGCTTGGTTGCCCTAAGTGGGGAATCCTCCCTTGACACTCATAGGTTGAGTTTCGGCTTAATTGACAGGTTTGCGTAAAATAAAAAAAGAATGTAAGGTTGAAAAAAAGTGAGATATATAATTTTTATTGAAGCAAATAGTATCATTCACAGAAAGAGGGGGTCATGACCCTCCATAATCTTCTTCTAATTTTATTCCTGTATATAAAGAAAGTCTTTTTAAAATTGGGCCTTCCCCTTTTATCAAATAATTAGTGAGTTAGGATATCTATACCTTTAAAAAAAATAAAAAATAAAAAATAAAAAAATTAGGAGATCTATTTTAAAAGACCAAGTGTACTAGAAGGGGAGTCAACTTCACAAAAATTAACTTCATTTTTGGGACTATGTTAAAAAATATTTTTCTTACAAAATATTTTATTTATTTTTTATTCAACTAAATTACAAAAAAATACATAAAATATTTTATATGAGTCATACAGCATTTTCGAAACTTTTCACTAAAAGATTTATATGTTTTTGTATCAAAATGAAATTATTGCAATTTGTATTTGTATGATTGAGTTGAGATTGGTCTAGCCATGTGAGACGTGTGGGGGATAATAGCAAAGATGAAGTAATGAATTTGGGCAGAAATTTTTTTTTTTTTTAAAAATTTTAAAAAAAGAAAGTGAAAAAAAAATTTGTATATTTCACACTTTTTTTTTTCTTTCTAAATTTTTATTCAAATTTATTATCCGAACATAACCTAAAATATAGCGAAAATAAAATGGCTCAATCAGTTCACTCACAAGAAATAGAAGTGTTTTGGCATTCCCTATATAATCCATCTTTTTATCTTTTTATCTTTTTTTCATTATATCATCTCTCAACTTTTCTGCACATCTTTTTGTAAAAAGACAAAAAGTACACTTATTTAAATCATCCCAAACAACTACACATCATAAGACATATATCACTTTTGAGCAATGTTTTAAAAATCGAATCTGTTAGCGAACCGAAAAAAGGATAGGGTGGACGGGTCACCAGTTCAACTGTCAAGTTGAACCGGAATCGAATCGCGACGTAATAAATATATTAAAATTATATTTAAATAAAATTATAAGTTAAAAATATTAAATTATCTTAAATATTTTTCCTAATATTTTTTTTTACTAAACAATATAATAACATATTTTAAAATATTATTAATTTTAATTTTGGAAGAAAAAATCAAATATTCAATATTCCCTCCATATGATTTTAATTCAAATAATTTAATTGAAAGAAGAGTAAAAATTTTGAAGGAATATCAAAATTTCAAGGCTCCCTCCAATATATTTGATTGAGTCCCATGTGGATTTCTTGAGTTTTTTAGGAAGAATTTTTTTCTTATAAATAGGTAGAAACTTTCACAATAATTTCAAACTCTTAATGAGATTCCTCACAAGAGGAGACCCTTTAAAAGAGAGTTTCCAATTAAAATTTTCTTATATAGATAATAAGAAAGAAAGAATGAAAAGAAAGGAAGAATAAAAAAAAAAGTTAGAAAATATCAAAAAAAAATTCAAAATTTTCAATTTCACTGACCCGACAAACTGTCCTCGGGTCGACTGATTCAGCAGTTCAACCGCCGGTTTTACTGGTTCTCTCTAAATAAGCCAGTTTTTGATTTCGAACGGTTTAAAGGGTATATCCGAACTGAAACCCCGATCAGTCGACGGTTCAATCAGTTGGGCCGGTCGATCCGGTCCAGTTTTCAAAACCATGCTTCTGAGTAAAGCATCAACAATTATGGAGGTATACACCAAAAGTGAGTTACCGCTTCAGGTGTGAGAGTATTAGTGGAGAGTGATAGGCAGAGATAATGTAACAACCCTCACCCTACTCTTGTCATACTTGCATACCTTCCTACATGGTTTTGCCTTGTCTTGTTTTGCTTAAAGTTGTTTGCATGATTTTATTCCTTGCTTAGTGTGAGTGTGTGGCCGAGGTCATCTTGAGCTTAGTCCGCCTTTGACCCTTGTACTTAGAACTACCTTGAGATCTTGTTCAAACCCATCTTCACCTCGGGCATTCATTGCCGAGATGTTTTGCACTTGAACCTTGTCCGCAGGCAGGTATGGCCTAGGCCGAGATGTGGCACACCCCGGCCAAGGTGTGGCACAGCATTTTTATTGCTATTTATTTATTTATTTTTATAATCAAGTACTTGGACCAGTTTATGGGCATCTTGATTAATTCGGGACTTACGTAAAGTGTCCCTCCACGTGGATTGAGTGAATTTCAGGTAAAGTCTGCGAGGTGGCCCCAAGGAGCGGATTGCTCCTAATAAGAGTTGAATCTAAGACTTAAAAGAGAATACACTCCTAGGCCCCAAAGTTGTACCTAGTAGGCCAACTTCTTGGGATTAGATTTTTATTGCTATTGTGTATCACTTGTCTGTGTATATATATGTGGGTGCAAGGTGAAAATCTCCACAGAGAAAAATGAGATGACGTGTCTATTCTTTTACTCTGCCAAGAGAAACCAAAATGTCAGTGATCACTCCCAACCTGGATAGGTCGAGAGAACTCTCCAACAATCAAGTCAGTATATTGTTTGGCTATAAGAATATAATTTATATTTAAAAGAGGGTTTTTGATCACCTCTCGTCTGTCCTCTGTGTTTTACCTGTTTTGTTTTTTATAGTTTCTTGACTTGAATCTCATCTGTTGGGTCAATATTCAATCTGTGGGTTCTGTCTTTATCTGGCTCTGGTTGGGCAAGTTGCCAAGTTGCTTTTACCCTTGATCGTTTGATCATTATATTACAGATTATGTCAGATGCTAGTGGTCAACTTGGTCAACTCTGTATTTGTTGGATCAAATTGATCGGATGGCCTTACCGTCTATTAGGCCTGACCTATGCTTCTGCATTTACTATCTGATGTTTCTACTGCTACATGAAACTTAATCCAACGTTCCTCTTTCGTTTTGTGGATCTTTTTATCTCTATGATTGATTGCCTTTTACGCTTATAGGCACGCGCCAGCTTGCTACTATGCCAATGGGCTTCTTAAAAAACTTATTTGGGCTTTTTCTGTCCTTCTGGGCCAATGTTTAATTTCTTTAGACTTGGGCTAATCTCTTATCCCTTCACAATTTTTTTTCTTTTCTTTGAAAATAATTATTAAGATAATTAATGATATGTGATACAAATTCCTAATATATAGTCACCCTAAGGCACAAGAAAAAAAAAACAAATAAATAAATAAA